TTTGGCATACAAGATACATCAGAGTTATTTGACGATTTATAAGGTCTTGTATTTACCCTTCAACAGTTTGACTATGTAATTCCTAGAACATCCCCTAAGAAGTTACTAAGTAGTATAGTACTGTATTTGTATGTAAGTGTGGTGTCGGTTTAACGTTAGAAAACGACCTCATATGTCATTGTTTAGACTATGGTCTCTCTATTTTGAACTTGTTTTGTTTTGTTTTTGTTTTTCAAGACAGGGTTTCTCTGTAGCTTTGGAGCCTGTCCTGGAGCTAGCTCTTGTAGACCAGGCTGGCCTCGAACTCACAGAGATCCACCTCCCAAGTGCTGGGATTAAAGGTGTGTGCCACCACCACCTGGCTCTATTTTGAATTTAACTTGGAATACTGGAATTTGGGCAGGCATAATGTGAACCAGAGACACCAAAAGCACCTTCACGCAGACTTTCCCCAAATATCTGGCAGGAACAACACAATGGAGGAAGAATTTCTTCTGTTCATAATTTCACAGACCTCAGCCCATCGTGGCAGGGAGTGCATGGAGGAGCAGCACACAGCAGGGGTGCAGCTTGGCGGGAGCACGGAGCAGAACCGCTAAGAGGAAGGGGCAGAAACAAGGAGTCGGCTACTGCTTCCTCCCAGCCCCACCTTGCACAGTTCACCACCTCCCAGGGGTGAACTCGACTGAATCCCTCAGTGGGCTAGAGCACTGTTTGGAGAGGAGCCCTCGGGGTCTAACCTCGGGAAACGCACTCACTGACGCATCTCGCTGTGTACTCTAGTGAGTTCCTAGGTATCTTTACCTAGGTGTCTTTAAATGCGATCAAGTTGGCAACCCAGAGACTCCCACAGATTCGCTGGTGCTCCTGTCCTTCCCTCCCATCACCGTGCCCATCACCATGCCCAGACTGGTCTAGGGGGGAAACGGGAGGAGGTGGAAAGAGGGCAGCACCCCTAACAAACCCCACATTAGAAAGCCAACCTCAGTCATCCCAGACTTGTGAGAGTAGCTGTTGTCTTGGAGCACTGTTTGGGACAGCGGTGTTTTGTTTTGATTGGTTTAGGTTTTGTTTGTAGTTTAGTTTGTTATTTAGTGTATGTGAGTGCTTTGCCTGCATATATGTCTGTCTGTGTACCACATGCATGCCTGATTCCTGAGGAGGTTTTTGACCTCCACATGGGTGCTGGGAATTGAACCCCAGTCCTTTGCAAGAATGTGTGCTTTTAATCACTAAATCAACTATCCAGTCCCTGGTTTAGTTTTTGAAACAGAGTTTCATATGGTCTCTGGCTCACTATGTGGTTGAGGCTGGCCTTGGACTCCTATTTACCTGCTTCTATCTTCCAAGTAATTATTATTACAGGTATGCACCACTATGCCCAGCTACCTCACTGAGATTTGATATAGTCTGTTACATGGCACTCTTGTGGTAATAGGTCATTGATATAAATTACCACCCAAAACACCCATATAGTAAACATTACACTTAAATGTTAGGAGCATTCCTTTAAGGATCGAGGGCCAGCAAGATTTCTCTTGCTGGTAAAGGTAAAGGTGTTTGCTTCCAAGCCTGAAGGCTTGCGTTTAATCCCTGGGACCCACACCTACAGGAGAAAACTCTGCTCTTACACATTGTCCTCTGGCCTCCAAATGTACACCAGGTCATGAGTGTATACATACACACATACATACATACACACACACATACATACATACATACATACATACATACATACACACGCACAGAAATAAATAAGCAGACATAAATGCAACTTAAAAATTAATGATCAGGGCTAGGTATGGTGGTGCATGAATTTAATCCCAGCACTTGGGAGGTAGGTACAGGCAGATCTCTGTGAGTGTAAGGCCAGCCAGGTCTACTTAGTAAATTCCAGGAGAGCCAGAGCTACATAGACAGACCTTGTCTTGATAGATAGATAGATAGATAGATAGATAGATAGATAGATAGATAGAT